CTTTATTCACTCACAAATTATGATGTCTCTTCTTCTCTGCTACAGCGATTCAACGACAACCAAGATGACATGTACTCGTTCTCCTGGAGACGACCCAAAAACCACCCTTACAAGGAGATCCAACCCAAGAGCAACCCTTATTCCCAGAACCGAGCCTCAAACCCTTACGCTCAGATCCGAGGCCAGACAAACCCTTACTTTAATTAAGGAGAGGGAAGCTGAATCACTTCAGGGGTTCCTATAATGGTGTTTTTCCCCTAGTGACTGCAATTCATTGGAAACCCCCTGATGTAAAAGATGTAAACAGAAGCATATCAGCTAAGATGTGCAACGTAATGTAGTAGATATTGTTGTATCATGTGTTCCTTTACTACTTTTAGCTGTTATTGTGTGACTTCTATCCTATAAGCTGTAATAAACTAATCTGCTTTTCATTGTTTAAATCTTTTTAATTCTTGTATTCTGATTCACCCATAGTTCTGTATGCTGATTGAACATGAGTCCATAATTTATTCCATGTTGAAATTTATTTTTGTTCATCTATGAATTTACTGCAGTTGTTTTTGCTCAGCATTTCAGGCTTAATTTGAGTCTCAATTTTAAGTTTAACTAAGTTTTGGTAAATGAGATGAGCAGAAAATTTCTCCAAATTAGAGAATGTGAAGATGTTCATCATCTTTCAATATGTTTTATAAAGCGGTAAAATTATTTATAATTCCAAAAGTTTGCAATATTTAGCAATGCTTGTATCATTTTTCTTTTTGTATTTCATAGTATTATGTTGTATTTAACTCAAAAGCTGTAAATCAGAGATGATTTGTATTTGAAATTTACACTTGCATTTTTATATGGGTAAATAATAAAGATTGGATTGCTGATTTTTGAGTCTAAAATGTTTTATAAAAAGGATAAAAGGATATTGCTGTTCATTCTGGTCACACAAACATCATTTTAATGTTTCTACCCCTCATTCATACAGTTTAGGTCAAAATTCTCTCATCATGAGAAAACAGTCATATTCAATAAAAACAATACATTCATAACCTCTAACACTAGCATTGTTTAGATCACCAACACTCATACTGATGTTTTCAAGCCTTTATTTTTGTTATGATTATTTTCTGATGATATTTAAATCAACTCAATAAAAAACATCTTCATGACAATCATGTTTAATACTTTCTTAAAGATTGCCATTTTCAAAAGCCACTTCTAATCTCATTTATTGAATGTGTCTGTAAATTTTATGTTAAATTTGGGCTTTAATTTATGCATGAAAAACTAACTATTGCTGTTGGATGGAATATTTATGCAATAAAACAACTTAAGTTTTTTTAAAATGAAAGCTGAGTCACAAGTTTGAGTAAAGTGAGAAGTACAGCAAGGGATTATCAGTTTTTGTCTTTGTTGTGGTTCAAAATTACACCTCCAGCCTGAATTATACACATATTACCTTGGCTGGTTTTTCTTCCACTACCCGGTGCTCAATTGACAGGCTTCCAGTTATAACCCTGCCTGGATATTTACATTTGTAATATTTTGAACTAATAAATAATTCAGTCAGAAGATTCTGTCAACTACTATGCGCGTTATGATTGGTTGTCTACACTGCACCCAGCAATCCCTTTGGATATCTACAGGTGGGGGGTGAATTTGTTTACAATTTACCCAATCTGATCAGGTAATCTGGGAAGAAAACGTGGCCCTTTGACAAATACATTTCAGCAATAATAACCTGAAACCAATTATTGGTGATTAATTTTAAGCTCGTGAGAGGAAAACAGGAATATTTACTGGAGTAACTTTGTGGGGGGAAAAAAATACTTTTAGGACTAGTTTATTATGTTTACTTAAGTGATGATATTAGGAAGCACTGCTGTTCTTACTTGAGTAAAATTTCTGAATATTCACTGTCAGTAACTTTACAGAAAGAAGAACAAGATTGTTTAACCAAAACTGTATGAGATACAGACACATGCAATGTTTATTGCATGTTTCATAACTGGTGACTAAGGTTTGTGACGTAAAGCCCTTCCTTGTTGCTGGAATAAGCTACAGAAATAAACTTGACATCTACTGTTTATGTTAAAGTGGGCCTTTATTGGCCCTTCTTGCTATATATTTGCTGACCTGTTTTTTTTTTTTTTTTTTTTTTTTTTTTTTTTTCCTTTGTACTTTTAATGGAACACACTAACACACACAATGTATTTACACAGGTTTGTTGTTCTGTTATTTCTGTTATTTTGTCTCTGTTGAGCATTCTGTTTCATTTGGAGACAGAAATAGTACATTAAATATATATATTGTCCCTGAAAGTACCTTACCTTATTATAACATATATTGAATTTACAATATCAAGTGTAAGTTTAATAAGTTTTATACTGAAGACATTTGACTTAGAAAAGTGTTCATTCTGCCTGGATTTACTTTGCAATGTTATATACTGTAATCATTTCTTAAATGTCACAATTTCCAAATTTTTGTCTCTCTGATGACATGATTTCTAAATAATAGGTAAAATGATCTAATCAGCCTTTTACCGGCCAATATTTATTTTCTCTTGAGTAATTTCTTGGACAGAATGAGTAAAACTATATTGAAGAAGTTGAGTACTCTACCCACCTCTGGTTATAAGCCATTGTAAACTGCATCCGTTTCAGCCTTGATTTAAAGGAACTCAGCGTTTCAGCTGTTAAACAGTTTTCTGGAAGTTTGTTCCAGATTTGTGAGATGCAGAGCAGATCAGAACCAGAAGACCTGAGAGGTC